TGAGAGGTAAACATAGTCTTTTATTGTGGATATCAACATATGTTAATATATTGCATATCAATATTATTTGTTCTGTAGTGTTCAGATCTGGAATAATTCATACCCTAAATACCCTGTCATGTGTAGGAGTGCTTGCTGCTCTGCCAGAGGACCAGGGCGCCAGTTCCCAGTGCTCACAGCCAACTGTGACTCCAGTTTCAGAGGAGCTGATGTCCTCTTTGGGCCCAGTAGATAACACACACCTGGTACAAATGCATGCATACAGGCAGAATGCTCTTACAAGTAAATTAAAAATAACTCAAAAACATTAACAGACAAAATTGAAAGTCAGCATACCAGGCATCACTGCACTGTGAACATATGACTATTAGATATTTTTCTTTGACTTACTATGTTTTGTAAGAATTTCTTTTCACTTTGAATGTCCAGTGGGAAGCTGTTCAGGAAGCTTTATAGGAGATGGTACTTTGCTCTAGCAAGGGGCTCCTGGGTATACTGGGTTTGTGTTTTTTGCCCCAATGCTGTGGCTTTGAGCAAACTGCTTTCATGGATCTGCGTCTCTTCAGTCTCTGCAGTGACTCCTTTCCTTGACTTTCTAGCATCTGATCATCTGTCGTCGATTGAGGAGGTCGAGGTGGTCGAGAGCTGTCAGTTCGTCTCAGCCTCGGTCACTGTTCTTGCTTTTATAGTGATAACTTCCAGAGTTGCTTTCTACTTTTTGTTTTGTTTTGTTTTTTGAGACAGGGTTTCTCTGTAGCTTTGGAACCTGTCCTGGAACTAGGTCTTGTAGACCAGGCTGGCCTCGAACTCACAGAAATGAGTTCTGGTCAACTCACTCTGTGAGTTCGATGCCAGCCTGATCTACTTTCTACTTTTTTTACCATAGTTTTTTGATTTTTTTTCCATTTGAAATGACATAAAGTTATTTTTGATAAAAGTTTTTTGATAAAAGCTATGAAATTGTGATGGAAATGTTCTGATATAAATCCGGATTTTCTTTTCTAGGTATGAAAACTTTCAGAGACGACTGGCACAGAACCCTCTCTTTTGGAAAACATAATTTGAATAAAATAATTTATCGTGTCATTTAAAAGCATGAAGTCAAAGGGGTCATGAAGTCTACCTTTCAAAACTGCTCAGTGACTATGAAACTTACCCAAAACCCCGATAAACATTAGAAACACCGAGCGAGGAGAATGTTCAATATTGATTACTTTCCCTTAGAAGTGTGAAATACTTCTTGGAGCAAACGTTTTGTATCGACTGTTATTCATTTCTTAAAATAAAACCTACTCACAGTAGTAGTATTTGAAATGCCATTGCATGTGTAACCTTGTGTTCGTCACACAGTGTTTTGCTAGAGTAGCTAACTTGGTTGGTGGGTTTAAGAGTCTCGTGTGCCCCAGCATAGCCAGAAGCAAATGATTACGAGCTTGATTCACTGTAAAGTTCACTTTAAGTCAACTGTTTCACAAGTAGTTTTGAAAAATGTGTTTGAAGATGGTAAAATTATGCCGGGTGGTGGTGGCGCATGCCTTTAATCCCAGCACTTGAGAGGCAGAGGCAGGCTGATCTCTGTGAGTTTGAGGCCAGCCTGGTCTACAAGAGCTAGTTCGAGGACAGTCACCAAAGCTACAGAGGGAAACCCTGTCTCAAAAAAAAAAAAAAAAAAAAAAAAAAAAAAGAAAGAAAGAAAGAAAAAAGAGGGAAAATTATCTTCAGGGAGCGCGTATGTGTGTGTGTGTGTGTGTGTGTGTGTGTGTGTGTGTGTGTTGGTTTGGAGACAGGGTCTCGTGTGGCCCATGATACTCTCAGAATGCCCTTGAGCTCCTGAGGCCCAGCCCCTGACTCCCGAGTGCTGGCATTACAAGGGTACACCACCACTTTGGTTTCATGGAGTATTTCTTAAGATTAGCAAATTTGTTGTTTTTCAATCAAGAAAGGTTGGTTGTCAGTTTTTATATCTTCAGATTGATGTACTTTTTTATTTAATAAAATTTCTATGTTTAATACCAGTGAACTTTTATTGAATACTTTTAGCACTGGTAGGTGATTGTATATAGAATGTACCTTAGTATACGAAGACAGAGCTTTTTGTCTTTTTGTCTCATTTTTGTCTGCAGTTTTCATACTGGAGACACACATTGGCTGAAGACTGCCAAGACCTCCTCTGTAATCAAAGCTGGATATATTAGCTCGCTCAGTGAGGGAGCATGTCCAGCGGAGGAGCCCCGGGGTCCCTATGTAAGAAGGGGACACAACAGTTTTGCAGCCTTGAGTTAATTTTGTTCTGTTTTGACAGATAATTCTAAAAAAATTGGAAAATAGCCCGCTAATGATACAGTGTCTTTTGTCTTTAAAAGGTGAAAGATAGGTGGTCTGTATTACTGGTGTCTTTAGCAGTATGAGCCTGTGCAGATTTATGTGTGAGATCAGTTTGCCGTCTTTTGAAACAAGGATCTAGTTGAGCTGCTCCCCTGCAACGCTGCTCTTTGGTAATTTCTTGTCAGAGTTTGGAAGACTTTGCATATGGTGACTTTTTTTCCCCCCCAAGTTATTCTTTATTCTGGCTTTCTCCAGCCAGAAGCCTCGTTCCTGAGCTATGTGTACAGTGATTGTGCTCGATCCTTGCTAATAAATGATTGTTAGCCGTGTACCTCAACAGTGAGTGGCTGCTGCCGCCAACTGCTCGACAGAAAATACTAACCGATTTCAAGATGGTTGACAGAGGGATTGTTCCACGGTATATGTGTGGCCAGGGCCCTGGATTCCCTAAGCTGCAGAACTAACCAAAGCTCAAGTGAGTCTGTTCCAGTCATGTAGCCACTCGTTCTCACCTAGGCAAAATCGGTCTGGGACTGGGGAGACGGTTCAGTGGTTAGCACTGCTGTTCCTAACACTCACGCAGTAGCCACAGGTGTCTGTAAACTCCAGTTCCAGGGGGTCTGATGCCTTTTGTCCCCCAAGGATGCCAGATGTGCATGTTGTGCAGACCTACGTGCAGGCAAAACACCCGTGTGTATTAAAGCAATTTTTTTTCTTTAAATCTCTTCTGCCTAATCAGTGATTTGGTAGAGGTACAAGTTGTTAACACAAACTTTTCCTTTCCAGGACATGGAAGACTGCAGCTGTCTGGCAGTCCTGCCTGGGTCAGTTCAGTTCAACTAGTTGGTTGGGCTTTCAGGGCAGATGGCGAGAATTAGATTTTGGACGACCTTTTCTACTTGAGTTAATCTTGCTCTCGCAATAGGGTTTTGCAGAGCACGGGCAAAGCAAGTTAGTTTTCGTTTCCGAGAACTCGATGTGGCACGTGCTCCTGGCATGTTGGGAATGCGCAGCTTTCCCCAGGAAACAAGAAAGAAGAGAAGAAAGTTAAGTATCTGAATGATTTAAAAAAATTACTCTGGGGGCTGGAGAGATGGCTCAGTGGTTAAGAGCATTGCCTTCTCTTCCAAAGGTCCTGAGTTCAATTCCCAGCAACCACATGGTGGCTCACAACCATCTTTAATGAGGTCTGGTGCCCTCTTCTGGCCTGCAGACATACACACAGACAGAATATTGTACACATAATAAATAAATAAATATTTAAAAAAAATTACTCTGTGTACACAAGATGGATTTTGGTGTAGGATGCATGTATGAGCCTGGTTTTGACGTAAGTAATTCCTCACGGTACAGAAAATAATGGAAACAATACCACTTATTTTAGGTCGTTTAGTCTGTGTACTTCTGGACTTTGCTGGAGGAAGTGTGCCGCTGTGGGGGCGGGCTTTGAGGTCTGCTATGCTCATGAAACTGCCCAGTGTGACAGTCCACTTCCTGTGGCTTGCAAGCCAAGATGTCGGACACTTGACTACTTCCCCAGCACCATGTCTGCCTGCACACTGCCATGTTGCACCATGGTGATGATGGGCTGAACCTCTGAAAACGCAAGGCACCCCAATCTAATGTTTTCCTTTATAAGAGCCGCTGTGGTCATGGTGTCTCTTCACAGCAAAAGAACACTAAGGTCGTGTCTAAGTACGACTATGAGGGGCCATAATGATGCCATTACAAGCAGAGCTCTATAATAATCACGAATGCAGCCTGACTCAAGCGTAGGGGTTGCAGCTTTGTTCTAGGCGCAAAGCCTCCTTGTTTGGTTTTGGAGTTTGCATGATGAGATGTTTGAAAACGGTGGCCGTGGAACAACCCCTTTTTCCCTTTCAGGTGATCTAGCACGGCTGTCCTCTGTCCACGGTACATGCCAACAGCTCCTCTTGCCTCTCCATAGCAACAACCGCCGTGGAAACGTGCTTGGCACTATCTAAACCAGTCACGTGCCTCTCCCTTGACCCCAATGTCCTCCGAGTTATACACACATCAGGGATGAGAATATATTAACAAAGAATGTAAAAGCCTGTAAGAGAATGCATTATTCCTACGTCCAGAAATGGAAGCAACTCAAATAAATGCTCCATCTGGGTGGAGGGTGGGGTGGGGTGGGGTGTACGTGTGCACTTTTAGGAGGGAGAACACCAAGGAGGTCTGTAGTTTTGTCCCATTTTCCTCCTCCACAGGGTAGGAGGATAAAGAGGGGAGGGGAGTAAACCCATACGCTCTGCCTTTATTCTCCAGCCCTCCATTTCCTAAGAGAGGAGTCTGGAAACAAAACAAAACAAAGACAAGAAACAAATTTCAGCTAAACTCAAATCCTCAGTCAGATCCATAGAGTCTAACCTACATGGCTGTTGGCAAAATGCAAACCCCCTCCTCACCCCCACCCCACCACCTGTCGCTCTGGAAGCTTGCGATCTGGCCATCTTCAAGGCCAAGTCTTCTCGCTGCCCTGGGTAAAAGCGAAGGAATAAAGTTTTTTTTTCTTTTTGTTTGTTTTTGTTTTTTATTTTTTAAATTGCGTTCTAGCGTCTCTGCCTAAGTTCTTGCGCAGCCTAGAAACTGGATTCTCTTAGGGGGCCGGGCCTTGAGGCCCTAGCAACCGAGTCAGTCTTTGTCGCGTCATAGCAACGCTTTCAGCACTTCCTTTCCTAAGGCCTTCTTAGTTCAGCGACCCCCAGGCCTCCGTCCGCCCGAGGACCTCGCTGTTTGGATGGGCGCGGATTTGCACTTCTGTCTTAAGAGAGACAGAGCTCTGGCTTTGTGTTGGGGGAACAGGTTATCAGCGAGTCAGATCACTGGGGGAGGGACGGCCACAAAGAACGTTTATTTAAGGAAAAATACATTTCAAGACTTTTAGAGCAACTTTTGATTTCAAAGAACCTCTCCAAATTCCGGGCAAAGAGGGCTGGAGGGTGGGAAAATCCTTTTAGTGCAAACTCCACATAACAAAGAGGAGACTGTCCATCAAGGACCCCCCACGGAGTCATCTGGGACCGAAGATGTTGGACAGGATTGCCCCGGCTTTTCAGGACCTGTGCAGGCAGGTGCTGCCCACTCTGCCTTCGCTGAGCCAGGAGGGTAAGCGACTTAATGCGGGGGCTTGGGGATGTACCTTACTGTGCTTCAGACGTGACTCAGAGCTCACGGCGTCGTTTTCTTAGGCTCAGGATTTTCATTAAAAAACAAAAAAATTTCACACACGGCCTGATTAGTATTAAGTACTGAAAGCAAGCTCCCCCACCTCCTCTAGGGTGGATGAGAACCCTTGTGATCCAACTGGAGTCCCGAATGACTCCTTTTCAGAGTTGGACACAGGACACATATATGTACTGTCCTTGATGTTTTGTGGGTGTGTTAATGAAAAGTGATGTTATCGACAGACAATTTTCATAGAAAACTCAGAGGGCAGTTCGAGACACAGTCCGTGTTTTCGCCTAGTTTCTTAGGAAAGTGCACCACCCCACCCCATCACCAAAGTGCTTTGGCATCTGTCTGTGATAGGGGCCGTCCACGGGAGGGCGCCCTAGAGAAGCAAGCTGCTATTAGCCATTATAATTGAGATTGTTTAGCACACAAAATAAATACGAACAAGTATTGCTTTTTTCGTTTCCCAAGCATCACTCCTAATTGTTCCTGCCAAGTTTTTGAAAGAAGTATAGAAGATAGTTTTATGACTTTAGAGATACTTTCTATCTTCTTTCCATACCCATTCTTTTAAGTATTTTGAAGTCCTACTGTACGCTGAGCCCTAGAGAACTGATGGTTACTAAAAACCCCAACGATTTATAATCAGTGGGGAGATACACACTAATCAAAACACAAATAGTACACACTAATCAAAATACAAAGAGATACGCACTAATCAAAACACAAATAGGTGTAAATTTATATTTGAACTAAATGCTATCAAGGAGGAGGCACACGATAAAAAATAACTTTACAAACAAATTTATTTAATGTGTGTGTGTGTGTGTGTGTGTGTGTGTGTGTGTGTGTGTATGCCAGGGGAAGTCACAAAAATGATGTCATGTCAGGTCCCTTGGAGCTGGCGGTTACAGGAAGTTGCAAGAAGCCAGACTTAGGCGCTGGGAGCTGAACCTGGGTTCTCTTCTAGCAGTAAGTGCTCTTAACTGCTGTGCTATCTCTTTGGACCCACAATAAGAACTTTTGTTAAATATATGCATATTTAGCTGGGTGATGGTGGTGCACTCCTTTAATTCCAGCACTTGGGAGGCAGAGGCAGGCAGATCTCTGTGAGTTCGAGGCCAGCCTGGTCTATACAGTGAGTTCCAGGACAGGCTCCAAAGCTACACAGAGAAACCCTGTCTTGGAAAAAAAAAAGAAGAATAAAATATGTGTATATTTAACATATATAGTATCTATCTATCTATCTATCTATCTATCTATCTATCTATCTATCTATCTGTCTTTGATTTTCAAGCAGGGTTTCTCTGTGTACTTCTGGCTGTCCTGGAACTCGCTCTGTAGAGCAGCCTGGCCTTGAACTCAGAAATAAGCTTGTTTCTGTCTCCTGAGTGCCGGGATTAAAAGCGTGAGCCAGCCCCCCGCATCCCCGGCTAACTTTGTTAAATATTTGATTTTAAAAGTTAAGAGGAAGGCATAGAGATTTCTTACACACTCACACATGCACAGCACCCCCAAATTTCACCATCCCCACTGGAGTGGCACAGTTTTAAAGGTGATGAGCCTACTTTGACTTCGTGCTTACGCAGTCTGTAGTTTACGTTAGTGCTCTTACGTGGGGGCCTCATTGTGCAGCCCTAGCTGGTCGAGAACTGGCTCGCTTTACAAGGGTTACCTCCCACTCACAGAGCTCTGTCTGCCTCTGCTTCCCAAGTGCTGGGACCATGCACTCTCAGGCCCTGCCTGTTAACATTTTGTCGGTTATTTTGTGTAAGCTTTAGAATGAGGCTGTCTATAGGTGAAAAATGCTTTGCTAGGAAGCTGAGATGGTACTAATCTAAGATTTTGACAATACTGAGCCTTATTATCCACAAAATGTTCTAACACAGCTCTTTGATTTCTTTCATCAGTTTTGTAAATATTTCCCCATAGGTTCTATATACATTTTAGATCTATACCTAAGTATTTCATATTTTTAAAGACTTCTGATGTTACAGTGTGCTTAATTTTTAAGTTCTCCTTATTCATTGCAACTGAATAGAAAACTCACTTTTTTTTCTATTAACCTAATTATGATTTAATTGTTAAATTAAATGACCCCCATGGGCTTACATGTTTGAACGCTTAGGTCTAGCGTGAGGGGGGGCACTATCTGGGGGCATTGTGAGACCTAGTTGGCAAAGATTGGTTATTGGAGCATTCTTTTGAGGGTTATAGCATGGCCTAGTCTGGGCTCTCTGCTTCCTGAGTCACACGAGAGGCTCCTGCCATCACAACCTGAGGCATGATGGTGATTGTGCCTTCCTTGTCTTATGGGCTATGTCCTGAGTCAAAACAGTCCTCCCTTCCTAGGTTATTTGTTGAGTATAGGATATACCGAGAACTGGATCACGGTTGCAATAACCCTGACTGTGGGGGTGCACAGAGCTTTTAGAACTGGGTTCGCGAGGCACAGAGAAAAATTCTGAGCTGTGGCCTAGAGAAGCCCCGAGAATAAATGCTGTTTTTAGAGCTCAATGGGTCATTCTGGTGAGAGTTAGAAAGCAAAAGTGTGGCGGCTAGGAATGTGGAAGATCGAGACTGCTCACGAGATTTCAGAAGAGAAACAAGACCGTCTCGGGAACTGAGTGAGAGACCATTTGCACTGAATTCTAGAAAAATAAAAGTGGTTGTATTCTGTCCATGTGCTGAAGATCTGAGGAAGGGTGAATTTAAGGAGATCAGAGTGATTTACTTAGGGGAGGGGATTTTTTTTTCAAAGTTTATTAAATTATAAAAGTTTCCATTTCCGCCCCCCTCCCAAAACCCTCCCACTCCCCCCACTCCCACTCCTCCTCCCTCTCCATCCCTAAGAGCAGTCAGGGTTTCCTGCCCTGTGGGAAGTTCAAGTTCCTCCACCCCCCTCCCAGGGGAGAGGATTTTAAGGTAGGCTAACATCCAGGCTTTGCCGTGGTTATGATTCACTGGTTTTAGCTTGATTTATGGTGAGGACGAAGAACAAAAGAATAAAGCAGAAATGAGGCAAAGCTCATCCAGTTTCGTAGCAAAAGAGCTAGGAAGAGTTCGAATTTGCTATAACAGATTTCATCGCCGAAGCAAACTCTAGGCTGGGTTAATACAGAAGGTGACCAAGGAGTAGCTCATTTGAGGCTCAGGGGTGCAGTGCACCATGCCTGTCTGCGCTCTATGCGCTGCCATACAGTTCACGAGCTTCCGAGCTTCGGGCAAGGGACTGGAGGTTGAAAATATACAAAGACACAAAGAGACAGGGACACAGACCTCTAGTCACTGGTAAGAAGCCCTTTTCACAATAGCACCACGGAGGCTTATATACCCAACAGTCAAGTGGGCCCACAGGTGAAAACCTTATCCTCCGATCCTCAAGGCCAAGGCAACACGTGCTCGTGAAACAGGGCTGGTAAACAACTCTGACACAGCTTTCAGTAACTCAAATCAGGAGGAAAGTAAAGATCACTAGCAGGGAAGAGCAGCTGGAGGCCAGGACTCCAAAGGGTTCCAACACAAGCGTATGAAAAGGCAAACTCATTTGAAAAATGTTCTCCTAAAAAGATCATTAAAGTTGTGCCCTTGGGATTCTACACCACCAGCCTTTCTCTGTTTTTCTCCCCTATCCCCGGTTTCATAATTGGCCATACCATCTCTTCCACACAGAAGTATTCCCACCATGATGTAGCATCACACAAAGGACAGCTGCCTGATCTTTAACTCGGGACACCTCCAAAACTCTGAGCTCAACACATTTCGTTATTTTTCTCTATTTCATTGTCCTTAAGCAAAGTAAATGAACACACTAGTTTTCTGAGTCCCTCTCTGTGTGCTGAATTTTGTCAAATGATCAGACTTTTCCTTTTTAGCCTGATGCCATGGGTTACATTTAAATTGATCTTTAGATGGGGTTGAAATTATTTTTTATCCTGAGATTTAGTGGTAATCCGCCTAAAGCTTGGTTGTCAGAACAAATGGTTTAGAAATCCTGATAGGCAACATTTACAGATCTATTCTAATTGGACTGCAGAGGCCGAAAGCCTCTTTCTCCAGGGAGAAATACCAAACTTCAGTTTAAATAATTAACTCTACCTTTGTGTAACTCTGCCTGTCCTTCTCTATTGAATAAACCATTACAGCGGCTTCGATCCCTCATCTCAGTGAACAAAGAGCAGGCTCAGACTCCCGGTTAAATCCAAGACTTTTCATCAGGGTTTGGTTACAAAGTACACAGTTTCTCCTGGCCCTTGTTAAATCATTTCCTCGTTGGTATAGATAATTTTCCTGAAGTCTGAGCTGCCTGTTATGTCTAGTCATAGATTGTCAGTTTCCACGTTGTAATCCTGAAATTTCTCCGTGTAAACAGGGATAATAAGATTTCTGTTAGTGAGTTAATTACTTTTATGGTGTCAATGAGGGTTTAAACTCAGTATATAGTTATATAGTTGGGACTGATAGACAAGGGACAGACCTCCCCCATCCCTTCCTCCTCTTCTCCCCTCTTTTTTCTCTTCCTTCCTTCCTTCCTTCTTTCTCTTTCATTTTATTTTTCTCTTCTTCTTCTTCTTCTTCTTCTTCTTCTTCTTCT